ATGTCCCTTCAGTAGCAACGAGAAGATGATGTTCAAGAGGCTCTATAGTTGTTAATCTGTTCGGAGCCTTTAGGTTACCCTACTACGGACTTTGTGGTATCTTGAAGAAAGTATGGGAAAGGAAAATCTTTGTCGAATGTCGTTTTCGTCAGTAAATGTCAGCAAAACCAGAGAATGAGCAAATAGAGGGGCAGGAATTGGCAAGAGTAACGAGCATAAACAACACCTCTTACTAAAAAAACTGAAGAGAGGGAATAACTGGGCAGCTCAGAGTAAATGCCAAATCTGATAATACGCGATACACCTCTCAGGTATTTTTCTTGGATCATCAAGACGTGAATAGATATGTAAATGAGTGTTTCTCAGGCCTACTATGCTGCACAATCTGTATATAGCAATGCTCAACGTTTATCAATTTATTCCAGGATACGCCATGCGCTCGAGTATAATACACTTGATATTTGGAAGGGTCATGGCTATATTTAACAGTGGATGGGTTTTCAACTGAAAAGTTTGTGGCGGAGTGACCGGGAGCAAATGACAGAATCGTTGCTTCTATCTTTTAACCCTGAGGCCTTCTTGGGTTCAGAAAACTAGTTCTTTGTTCTTGCTGTACTGAACCAATTTACCCTATCTGTTTCTTGGCGCCAATGTCCATCCATGCGTATGGGTTGGGTGTCCGGAGGATGTTTGGGTACCGCATGTCTACTCAGCCAGAAGCTTCCAGTAAAACGATTGAAAATCACCCCCAACGGCTGTCAGTGTTATAGGTCTCCGGCGAACAAGCTCTTTCCTACTTCACTTGGCTTTATGGCAAAAATAAGTGAATAGGGCTACTCATTCATACCATGTCTATACATATAATTAGTAACAGCGAGAGAGATTAATTTAACCAGCGCTGACTTTTTCAGGTGAGCTCTGCACATTCCATAGAACGAATAGCGCTGGACCTGACAGGAGCAATTTGTGAGAACGTCATTCCGTTCTGCTCTGGATTCTAGATAGTCAGATGGGTATGGTAATAAGAATAGATCAGAGTATAGGCTGCAGGGATCTTCTTTGACGCCCCTAAGGAGGGAAAAAGACTCCCCTGATGTTCGAAAGGTGTGTGTGTGTCTTGATTTTAGAACTAGAGGAGCTCAGGAAGGTGCCACGCTAGAAGCATGATCGGCGTAGCCTTGAGAACTGCATGAGTCAACGAAAGTGTTCGAGGGCTTTCATTTCCTGGCAATAGCTGGGAGGTATGTGCATGTGGGGACGTGTAATAAGCGAAAAAATCCGAATTGTTCTGCTCCTCCCGAGAAAGAATGGTGACAAAAGCTACGAGATAATTCGGAACTGATTCGTTAAGCAGTTCCATTTAATAGCCCAGGGAAGATAAAGGAGAAGGATATAGTATGTGGCCTACACAGTGACTTGCGGTGGCCAGCCGATGTACAAGTCAGTGCTTTCATTCTCCCAGACGAGTCTAACCGACCTAGGAGGGATGGAAGGTTTGCTTTGCCTAGGCGGATATTCGAGCCAATAATAATAGCTCAGGAAAGGACCTGTATATCCGAAGTTTAAGATGAATGAACGAGCTGTTATACGAGCCGATAGTAGCCAAGAGTGGTTTGATTACGAATTAGACGCAATGGGTGGAAATGGCAGAAAGTCGCTCGAAAGTGAAGGGGCCGGAAATTGCACATAATGTCAATCGCCGTATGCAATGAAAGGTGTTTCAGCAATGTAACGCTCTAGCAGTTTGGAGTAGTAAAGGACAAACTGAAGAAAAGTGGCCAAGCAGTGTATGGTCACAAAAAGTCAGAACCATAGAATGGGCATCAATTTACAAGGTTATAGCGTTAGTTCTAGCCTCTCTTTCTTCCGTTACCCAGGGAAGACGCTTCATGGTAGAGGGGATAGCGAGTTCAACAACAAATCATCAGCTGACTGCACATGTGCTTTGGAGCACTATGAATCGGCTGTATCTTGAAACATGAATCACTGGAAAGGGTAAAAGTAAATGTGACGTTGCCTCGTTCTGTGCTCGGAATGCGTTCCGCATTCGGCTTCCATTCAGAGTATTGGTAACGTGCTGAATGCGTGTGTGGCCTAAACTACATCGACCTGTGGTGACTAGCCAATGCAAAATCCAGTACATTGTCTTCCCAGACAAGTCTGGTACCTCTTACCCGATCTGGGAGGATGAAACTTCCTTTTAGATGGGGCGATTTTCGGTTTGAGCATCGATTCGTCGGACCAAGAGTGTGAGGAGAGGAGCACTTCCATTTCCATTCCCTTCACACCACTTTTTCCAATCATTGAGGTATAGACCCTTCGAATGTTTGGGCTCTCCAGCTTTACTGAAATTCACCTCGCTTTCAAAGCAACTTTTCAAAATTTGCAGGTGCAATACAGCTGCCAATTTGGGTCATACATATCTGATTCTTATTGACATATGTCTGGAAGGGAGGTCCCGCGAAATGAAAGAAAAAGTTACAAAAGGCTTACGAGAGCGAAATTGAGAGTTTAACGGATTGGGAGTCGCCAGTGTGAGCCTGAGAATTCAATGGGAAGTAAGAAGTGCGACCTGATTCGTTCTAGATGGTTCGCTCAATAGTTTTTCTGAAGCTGGATGATTGTTCACCGATGAAGACAATTTTTCAACACGTTCATAATGAGATATTTACAAAAAAATTTTTCTGCTTGCCACACCTATTGATTTCGGAATCCACTGTATATTATATTTTATTGAAAAATCTCTCTATATTTAGTATCTTCCAAGTTTTACCAAATCTGGAGTCTAACAATAAGTCTATCACCAGATCGATCTAAAATCGATTACCTGATCATCGCTTTCGACGATTCACGCAGCAATAGAGGGTCTTTTAAAGATCCTCTCAAAGTGGTTTTTAGAGTATTATTGTGTAAGGCAAGTCTATTCGTAGGGATTCATAGACAAAGATAACCAAATTCGGTTGCCAAAATTTGACAAGCTCCTGGTGATCCAACTGCTGACCACACACCCTGAAATTGCTCGGTTGACCACCCTCAATCATTAGGGTGGTACCGTCCGTCGTAGTTGCCGTGGGTGGCCTGTTATTTACCGATTTATCACCTTTTTATAACTTTCTTTTCTACCATTCTTTAGGACTTGTTGCTTTAACATTTATTTCTCTGATTTCTAACCTTCTTATTCTTTCTTATCTCTGTATTCAATGAAAAAAACCTAAATTTCAGGACTAGATGCGGTACATTTCTAATAAATGTGTGAAGGCTGCACCGCTGAGAATCTGAGCCTAGTGGCCTGTGAGGTTAGTTTGTTTCTCTAATTTCTCGTTAGCAACAATGAATCTTAAACATCAACTGCCACCATTTTTTATCATTTCAGAACATTTCTTCGCTTGCTTTGATGTCGAGCCTACTCATTCTTACTCGAAAAGATGGACTTGAATATCAGGACTGACAACAAACGTAGCAATCGAACAAATGTCTGCTCGTCAGGAAATTCGGGCTTTCATGGCCGCTGAGGTTAGTTTTTTCTTCCATTACAACGATTTTCTGGAGCAACAAAGGTACCGAAAATGTCCCCGACTGGCAAATCTAAGCGTTTTTAGCTTAGGAAAAAGTTCATGAAAAAAGGGGTTACATGGAACTACAAGATAGGCTACCTCAAACATGAAAAAAAGAAAATTTCCAAATTTACCGAATTAAGTCTGTATATTTTACTTTTTCTCCTGAAAACGATTTCCTCACCGTTAGCCGAACGACTAGAAAAACGATTTCTTCAGTAGAAAAGCTATGCCTACGCTTCGAAGAGTGGAGGGCTTCCAGAAGATTATAGGGAGAGGCTCCTTCCCTTTCGGTAACCCTGGGGAGGCGGTCGTTTGACGCGGCCTTTCGCATCGCTCCGCCCAGTAAACGTGGTTCCCGAGCTGGACAACTCGTCCAGGTGATGGAGCCTTGTAGTAACGCATTGCCTATTACGGTACTTTGCTGCCATACTTTAAGCCCAGACCTCGCCAGCTTATACAAAAAACACAACTTTATTCAGCAACGATCATCAAAAACATTTTTTCTTAATCTACAAATATAACAAAAAAAAAACTTATTATGTACACTAGTCTCCTAAGATGTCATTATTGATGACTACACGAAAAGAAAGGGGAAAAACAAAACTTTCTCGTAATAAATAATCTTAGGCAATAGCTTTAGCAACAGCGCTAAATAGTCGTCCTGACTCTCACACACAAATATCGATTGATTATATCGATCAGGGAGAGGTAGAGAAATACAAAAAAAATTGTTGTTGACGAAGAAACGCTTCTCTATGTATGGTCATCAATATCGACTGAATGATGCTTTTTCTTATGATGTTGATTATGTTCCTGTAAAAGGGGTTACTGTAATTTCCTACAATGGGCAGGTCTTGGGAGAAAGTAAGGTACCCACGTGTTTTTCGAGCGATCGGCCACGAACTAGGGCCTTGATTTGTTTGAACGTCTTCTTTTTCTCTTTCATGTCGGCAGGTAATTTGGCTCGTTCGGATTCGGCTCGTTCGGCAGCTGCTTCTGAAAGTCAGGACGAATTGGACCGGAAATAGAGCCCGGGTCGAGATTATCCGATCAATTTCCGTAGTTTTGTAGTAGTAGAAGTATTAGAAATCGTCTGGGAAGACCGAGGGGAAAACTGGAAGTGTTTCGGGTTCCGCTTAACTTGCCTCACCTATTCCTGCGAATTAAAACATCTATTCTCTCGAGAATGCTTCAAACGCTAAATTGTAAGGAGTAAGTGATGGAGGTGTAGGATGGGATGAGGGAAAGATGGACGGCGAGTGGGAGGGGGAGGATAGGACGGAAGGGTGGTGGGCTGTTGATGGAGGAGACTATTGAACGAAGGTGGACTTTGTACTTTGGAACGAAGGAAGGAACTCTGGTATATCGAGAAGTCGATATGCCCTGACTTGGAAGTAGTCCATATCGATGACTGGCTAGTCTTCTTGATAAGTTTGGAATCAATCAATAAATCAATAAGACGATCCTACTTTTTTCTTGATGTTTTTGATGGCGGTACTTGCGATAGCTGGATCGCCACCTTTCCGCTGCTTCGGCTGTCATCGTGGGTGCAGTTTTGCCAAAGTTCCTGTCACGCATTTGGAATGCACGAATTGTACGAAGCTGAAAAATCAGTTGTAGAAATCCTGTTTATCGACTGAAGTGTGAAAAACATGGGCGCCGCTCTTGCACTCATGTTTCTCAATGTCGTCTGGCTCTGAAGTACGACTAGGAGATTCCATCTAGGACCTAGCAATTACTGTAACTCACGTGTTGTCCCATGAGGAACATTCCTCTCATCCATAACGATTTTCCACTACGACGTACAGTTAAAGCTCGTGATCTAGTACGTACATTGTAGTCACCGTTGATGTGAATCTTTGATGGTTCTACCTGGAATGGATTACTGTAATGAGGTTGGGCTCGTATAAGTTGGATGTGGTTTATTCTAACGCTTCAAAGCAAACGGTCTTTGGGCCCACTTTCGGAAACCCCTTCTACTGTCGAAGTTCTCTACCAGGAGTTTTTAGGACTGGATAGTGTATTTTGTTAGGGAAAGGTGTGTGGACTTCGAGCTTTTTCATTTGCCCAGTTCCCGTCAGTGGGAGTACCTATTTATCAGGCACCCTTAGGTCTGTCAATGACGCTCCATATTAATGCTGTCAAAATACTGGAGGTATTTCCATTTCTTAATCGTTTTGGGGCCTACTAAGCGATCACATTCTTTAAAGTTGAAGTATAAACATGTAGGCGACTGCGCGACAAAGATGTAGATGTAAAGATCCGCCCCTAAATAGTCGTGTCATCCGAGGGAATAGTCTAGTGAGAAGTGACTTATTCGTACAGTAGACGATGTTTGGCGAAAATAAATCAGATGAAAATTAATTTGTTAATTTGGAACCATTTTTCGCCAATTTCTTGATTTCTAATGATTTTTCTACCATTACATGATCAATTCATTTCAAAAACTATGATCTTTCCTTTGAGACCCATACCAGCTTATGATACTCCTGACTACGACACTACGTATCGATAGAACGACAAAAAGTAATTTGAAATAGCAGAAAATCCTCACCTCGCCACGTCCAACCTTCCAGGTCTTGGGCAGTTTCTTACTTGGGATCGTGGCCACAACCTGACCCCAAAGAAGGGTTGACACGCCCAGTGCTAGGCAGACGATCCACTAAAGACAAATCCTTGTAGGCAACAAACTTTTATCAAAAATTCCTTGAAATTCAGTTAGCTCTTAGCCGAACCTGATTCATGGTCAGAGGAGCTGTAGAGAACCATGCCGCTCCGAATTGTGTGATAAGAATTTGGCCGATAAATGTCGATATCCAAATCACACAAAATACTCGATTACTGGCAAGACCCTGAAAAGAAGTTCAATCGATAGAGATCGATATTCATCGGTATTTACGAAGGTGGACCTTGCAAGAAAACAGGGTTGGCTGATGGCAACTGAGGCAGCCGCCCGAACATGAGCTAGGAACCAAATCCCTATGGTTCCTAGTTCATGTTACATCGTCATGTTACTATGGAACATCGCCAGATCAACCGACCTTTTCGTCTAGGTTGGTCACTTGGGCTGGGTTTGCATTCAGGTGTCGCTACGACTTTCGTACAATCTGTATCCATGGTCCGATCACGGATTGAGTGCCTGTTAGAAAACCCAACCCTTCGACTTTGTATCCACCCTTTTCCTACCGTATTTGCTATTGATTTACTATTTATTTAGCCTCTCCTTTGGTTTGAATGGGAAATAATATGAGCTTCAGTCAAATTTACAGTCATACCTTGAAAACGTTGCGTTCGCCGTGGACTTTTCTGGCGTTGACCTCGTTGAATAGAGTCATCATTACGAATGCATTGAAGACAATAGTGAAATGCTGAGAAGGTGGAGCGAAAAGTGGGGCATAAAGTCCTGATTTGATGCCGAAAATACGATCTCCTAAATGAAGCATAATATGAGGCCAGTGAGATGGATTGGAATTTCTGCAAAAGTTCTTCCTTCAACGGAATGGCACATCAAATTATTAGACTGAAAGTAGTGTTATCGCCTACCGTAGTAGAAGATTGTGAACAGAATCAATAATTGGTACAGAGCATGACAGAGAATATTCTTAACCATGGTCCGGGAGATGAGAGATTTTTTCCTTAAGGCAGAATAATTATCGAAGTAATCGATATCAATCGATATATTTCTATCATTACTGTTTTTTCGTAGGTATTTTTGAGGAAATTCAAGCCAAATTGTGTTTATCAAGTAAACATACCTTCCATATGGCTTGCGATTCAGCAATTCATCGGTAGGGACTTCGGTGGCCAGAGCTAATGATGCTAAGGTGTCCATGATCAGGTTTATCCAAAGCATATGAACTGCCTGAATGACAGAATGTCTGAGCGGAAAGTTGACGTAGTTACCAAAGAAGGGGCCTGATCATTAGGTTAGTCAATTAGTTCTAGGTATGGATCCAGATAGGGGGTTTTCAAAACAACTTAAAAGGGGCTCCTTGATTCTTCCGAGAATATCCACTAGCTCTCTCTCATCAAATGTCAGCTGTTGTGAAAAAAATTATGTGGGTCCAGAATTTGTTTAATGTAAGAACCGTCAACTTTTCAGAGTCTCTGAATTTTTTGGGGCGTCTTTCCCCATTGTAACCTAGTTCAGCTTAAGGTAAGCTGAGAAATGTAGATAAAATCATACCTTTAATGGCGAATCGGACACTGTGACAGCTCCAATGAATGCGGTAAGCACTGCAACGACGTTGACAGTCAGTTGGAATTGCAGAAATTTCGATATCGAATCGTAGACGTTACGACCCCACATAACAGCCTGTAAAGGATTGACTTTAGGAATGCACAAACCGTTCACAGGAGGAAGAAGAAGATTTGGAACTCTGGGACCTTACCTTAACGATCGAAGTAAAGTTGTCGTCAGTAAGTATGATATCCGAAGCTTCTTTAGCAACATCGGTTCCAGCGATACCCTAAAACGACGTGACAGAGTCTTATTGTAAATGGAATAGGGACGAAAATGGCCATAATACGGAAGGGCGTGGGTGTACGGTGTGCATCGAATCAATCCCGGTAGTTACAGAGCGTAAATTTTGATTTCAGTTACAAACGACTGTAACAACAAACATCCGTCATTAAAAATTTGCAATTATTATCGATTTGAGCAGTCACTAACAACAACTCGTCCAGAGGGGGTGGAACCCACACTTAGTGGTCGATGCTGCATGTGGTGCCCTGCCCACGTTCCACAGGCACTTCTAAAACCCCGCCCCAGTTCAATTACCAGGTTCCTACTCACCATAGCGAATCCGACATCAGCTTTCTTAAGAGCTGGACCATCATTGGTACCGTCTCCGGTCACAGCGACAATTTCCCTAAAAATTCATCAGCGTCATGAAAGATACTCTATTAAAAGGTGGAGACACGAATGGGCGGAGACATCTGTTAAGATTACCGTAATCTTACTGTATTCCCCAACTGCTGAACTTTCTTTGATTTAAAGTTGTTTTAAATTTGAGCTGGTCCGCTCGTCGATCAAGGATAACTATCATTTGTTATGTTGTATGTCTCCGCCCATAAGTCGTAACGTTTCATAATGAGCACTATCGAGTGATATGAATTAATAAACCTCTGTGGTGTAGCCTTGCTATCGATGATACCTTTGACCAAGGTGTATTTGTCAGCCGGTTGAGCTCGAGCCAACACACGAAGACGAGGCCAGATCTCATCAAGTTTTGCCTGCGATACTTTCCCGTCTGGGCCACGAATTCTTTAAAATAATAAAATCTCAGTTCAAAAATTGATGATGACACTGAAGGGTCGAGAAAAAACCCACCTCTCGTTGAACTCCTTGCCTTCGAGCGCTAAAAAGTCCTCACCGGGTTGGAGAATTCGACACGACATTGCGATAGCCCTTGAAATAATTATTCTTGCCCGCTAACAAAAATTTATACCGATTAAATTTACATGAAATGTAGGTCATCGGTGCGTGCGGTCGCGACGCGGTGATGCTGTCTTCAATTTTGTGCAAAAAAAAACTGGAAAAGGGGAGAAGCACAGTAACTATCCTACAAGTGGACTGGTCAGCTTGCCGCTGCGCAGACGCACGCGTCCATTACCTATTCATGTGCTTTTTACGTCAAATAGAAGATTTATATAATCGTTTGCCACTTTACCAGCCTGATATTCATCAGTCATAACTTTCATAACTACGAAAAACAAAAAAAAAGATTAAACGATCGAGTCAGTAAGTAATGTATGTGAATGGTTTACTTGCAGCCACATCAGACCTCCTACGGCTGCTTCAAGGTTAGAGACGCAGGAGAACGAGCTCTGTTTCTTTTTTCTATATCGTTCAAAGGGTGTTTGTTGTGAATGGTTTAGTTGTAGCCACATCAAACCTCCTACGGTAGCTTCAAGACTAGAGACGCAGAAGAATGTGCTCTGCTTCTTTTTTCTTCACCATTTAGAGCATGTTTGAGAACAAACCTGGCCGTATTGATGTTGTCCCCAGTGACCATACGCACGGTAATACCAGCTCTTTTGCATTTGTGAATGGTTTACTTGCAGCCACATCAGACCTCCTACGGCTGCTTCAAGGTTAGAGACGCAGGAGAACGAGCTCTGTTTCTTTTTTCTATATCGTTCAAAGGGTGTTTGTGAACAAACCTGGCAGTATTGATGTTATCCCCGGTGACCATACGCACGGTAATACCAGCTCTTTTGCATTTTTCAATAGCTGCTGGTACTTCAGGTCTGACAGGGTCCTGAATGGAAATTATCGTCCGGTGTTTCATTCATTTCCGTTTAGGGAGCAGGTCTGTCTAAAACTAAAGCACTTACCTGAATACCTAATATAGCAATACCAACAAAATTCCTTGATATATCCTGCTCGTCATTCCAATCAATAGAAGAATCGTTTTCGAATTCGACCTGAAGAATAAAAAGTCGATAATCATGGCCGACAACAAATTATTGATCTGTTTTCAGGTACTGTGAAGAACCGACCTCCGTTCGATCGACTTGTCGTACACCTTTGCGAATATAGTCCTTATAAGCGACGCAGATCGTTCGTAATCCGTTATTGGCCATTGGTGAAATTACAGTAGCCGTGATCTCCTTCAATCGATCAGCTGAGAATTGATGTGGCTTTCCATCGGATCCGATCAGGTAAGCACATCTGATAAATATGTGGTGTAAACAAGTAAATAAGTATTGTAAGTACTGGAACCCGAGTTTGAGTAACTATACATAAAGATTGACGTGGCATTAGATTTGCAGTCCATTATACTGTGTGAAAAATCGATATGGATCAATAATTCTACAGTAAATAACTCAAGGTACTTAATCAGATGAATGCTCAAAGATTTTGCCCGTGGACCACATATTTAGAAACTTTGTACAGGGAAATTCCCTACAATAGCTGGAAAGCAATCCTGGGTTTGGGACGCAAAGTGGTATAGCCCCGCCGCTGCATCTTCCATGCTTTTGCTGAAGTTCTACAAAGTTGTGGTAACTAGGAGCAGCGATCCCACAGTTGTCATCATCCTTTGCTCTTACTGTCCGCACTATAATCAGCTTCAGGAAGACCCGCCCACCTTCTAGAAGTCCCTCCCACTCTGCCACTATTTTTCTTTGATCTCCGAAAAGTATAGTGAAGAAAATTCTCACCGTCCTAGAATGATCTCACTGGCTCCTTTGCAGTAGACGCGATAACCGACATTGACACCGTTTTCGAACAGATTAATGACGGTCATCATACATTTACGGGAAGAATTGAACGTATACACCTGAAAGAGCCTATAGTTCAATTGAACGATTGGAACTGGTATTTAGAATAAACCAAAAAGAATGAAGCCTTTTTCGACCCCTATTGAGAATCGCGATAGGGTTTCGTCTGCGTGTGAGGCCCATACAGTGGCCGGCCCTGTACATAGGACTTGTGCGCCAGTCCGTGCTTTCATCCTCTCGGATAGTCAATAACCACTTAAACTAGTCTGGAGGAATGAAAAGTTTGGGTGGTCTGGGCGGGTACGGTCCGGGATTCGATTCCCAAATGATGTCTACGATAGTGCGCCCCTTTGCACTGAACCACCTCCATCTCGAGCGGAAGGATATAAGGATGTGTTTTTTCAAAAGCTATGTTCTTACCTTGACCAACGACTCTTCAGGGAAATTCTTCCGAATCAATGAATAGTCGCCGCCAAGTCTCTGGACGAACCCGCGTCAACAATCCCTGAAAGAATCATGGGGTAAACCAAAGTACGGCTTACCTGTTGACAGATATCGCTTCACATATCAGATGAGTCGTGTTGCCAGGAAGAGCGCTCCCATGCGGTTGGTTGTCTTGTCCCTCATAGTGGTTACCTAGAGTAGGACAAGGGTTGTTAGAAGCAAATCAAGAAGCGGACCCAAATGGTAGGCCAAGAAAAACGGAAGGCTGTTCAGTCTGTTTCGGCCCCTTGATTTGGACGAACTGCCACTTCCCAACGCTCAAAGTGATCAAAGGACTGGGTTATGAAGGATGAGATAATTATCGTCGAATATCACTTTCATAGACTTTTTCAAGGAAACTCGCTAAAGGTTAGCAGTTTATTCTCCATTTGGTATGAAATATCGTCCACTGGACGAGTTAGCGCTATGGCCGTGATTGGAATGCACAAAATCAGGTTGAAACCAGGAGGATTTACTGGCCTAGAAGAAGGAGTGCGTTCCGAATGGGATTTAGGGCCCTCTAAGCATCTATCTCTCCACAGTCCACCAATGCCCTGTTCTTTCTGTATTCACCAACCGTTGCTATAACCATACCCTACCGTTGATGTAGGAATCGACGACGGTCATCCGATTTGTGGTCAGAGTTCCAGTCTTATCCGAACAGATCGACGTCGCATTTCCCATCGTTTCACATGCGTCCAAGTGACGTACGAGATTATTGTCATGCATCATCTATAATCATTGATAGTTCATTCAGGTTTATAAGAAATTAAGAAGGCGGAAATGGTAGACTGAAAATTCCGGACACTAGATTATTGTCATGCATCATCTATAATCATTGATAGTTCATTCAGGTTTATAAGAAATTAAGAAGGCGGAAATGGTAGACTGAAAATTCCGGACACTTCTTTCGTGGAATACATCTCTCTCTCCTTAAAAATTACGTTTGGCACATTTGAGAACTGAGAGGGCTTGTGAATTTGGTATTGTCATAAGCACGTGCAGACTTTCTCTTTGGTACCAGGGCTCAAATTATAAGGCAGAGCGCTTTGGTTACCCACCGAGCTAGCTAACTCATGGTTAACTATACATATCATTGGTGGATTTTTGGTTTGGAATGGGAGTTAAGGAAAGCTAACTGGTTGTTGACTTGAAGGTGCAGTTCAGTTCACGATAATTCTGAGGGATCTTACTTGAAGGCACAGTTCACGGAAAAAATGGTTTCTGAAATTTCCCCTTAGGATGAGTTCTAGGCTCATTCTGAGATCATATGCGCCGATGTTAGGTCGAGAAACATCCTGGATAAGGCACAATAAGGGGTCGGACATTGTATCGTGTGAATGCCCCACCCACGGCAGCGGACTAGTCTCGATGGTGTTGAGAGGCTGCGTGTTGTAGAGGCTGCCCGGACAATGTCCTACTTGCTAACTTTGGACGGTGTACACCCCTACTTTGGTTGTTTTGTGCTCTGAAATCGCTATGGTGTCTTGGTTAGTTTGGTCAGTCCGACTCACCTTTTTAACGGAATACGTCAATGCTAAAGCGATGGCCAATGGGAGACCTTCGGGGATCGATATTACCAGGATAGTAACGGCTATGATGAAAAATTTGACGAACATCTGAAATTTTCAATTATCGAGAGTCATAAGAAAGAAAGAGAAGTAGCAAGCACGTGATGTTATATTTGATCAGTGAGCGAAAAATCTTAGTCTAAAGAGTTCTTGTCATATTTTTACTCGAAAACGGTTCACCTGGATATCGGCTATGCTGAATGGGATTGCATCACGAACATAGTGCTCAATACAGAATCTCGTAATCAACACGATTAAGGCGATAGCTGCGACAGTGGTTCCTAAATAGTCAGCCTAATCGTTTATGATGTTTATTTGTCTGTTTGAACATATTATATGTTATTATGTGGAAATTTTCAGAACTAGTTCCTCTTCCAAGTGTTATGTAATGGAAGGGAAAACTGCTGTTTCCCGGATACCATTAGCAAGGAAACGACTCCAACAAAGCGTCCTTTGCGTTGGAGTCGTCCCTTACCAATGGTATCCGGGGAGGAGCCAGCACCCAATAAAATCGCCCAGATTTTTGTCGTGAAGGAGAAGTCTGGTTGTCTTGGAAGGGATAAGATCCAAGTAGGATCTCGTCCTCGAATTCTAGGCCTGCGAATGGCAGCACACGTTCCTACTTCCCTTCATTTCCTCCTTTCAGTGGTAATTGGTTAAATGGGAAAAATTAGTTTAACTCCAGAAAGTGCTGAGAAGTTGGCATGGGAGCCATGGAGTATCTACATGTGAAGAAATGGAAGCGAAACGCAACTGTGGAGTACTACCGAAGAACTACCGCACTCACCGCAGTAGATAATTTGTAACGCCAAATGAGATAGTTTTGACTGTAGAACGGACTTCGCCGAAAGACTGTCATCATCGTCGGATGAATTTGTTGAACTGGACGAGGATGACTTATCCGAGCTCGACGAAGAAGTGGATGAGCTCGATGATGCTGAATTACTGTCTTCAGAGGGTATAATCTACTTCGAGAAAAAAGTGGAAATCCTCATGGATTTGGAAGAACATACATGAAGATGAACTGTCATCAGCGCCCTGAACACCAGGTTTGCCGGCACCAAGAAGTGTCATGATGATACCGGTCTGGGAGTTGACTCCGACAGCTGTCAGTACCATTTTGCCGGAACCTTCCATTGCGTAGGTACCTGAATGGAAAACATTTTGGTAAAGCACTGATTGGTGAGAAGGTTTCCTATAATGTCCAACGACCATAGACTTGCCTGATAACAGTACAGGATCCGATTCCACAGATTTCTTGATGTGATCCGATTCACCCGTAAGCGATGACTCGTCGATCTGAAAACGGAGCTTTGGCATAAAACATTCAAGGATGAAGCCTCGGCGTCCAGGTCGATCCTGCTTTCAATCCAATTCGCTTGAATTCAGCGGATCTCACCTTAAGGTCGTTGGCTTGAAGTAGGAAGCCATCAGCCGGCAGAAGGTCTCCATATTTTACACGGGCTATGTCACCGACTACCAAGTCCGATACGGGTACATCGATTGCTTCACCATCACGAATCACTGAGAATTTCTGTCCGGTTTCGATTTTTTCCTGAACGTTCAATAATAAATTGACAGAATATGTTTAAAAATTGTGAGAAACTAAGCAAAAATATTTTTTAAATTTTTTGAAATCGACAAAAATATGAACTTTGAGAAACTATCAGTGCTGTAATGGCGGTAGATTGCAGTCTTTATTTCTAATAAGAGAGCCAATCAATCGATAATGATCAATACCTGTAGACTTCGAAATTGCCGCTCTTTGGAGTAGTCGTTACCGGCTGTTACCAAAACGACCACAACCACACAAAGCAGAATCGCGACACCTTCTATCCAAGCCGTTCCATGTCCTTCCGTCGGTGGTTTGGCTGTAGTTGCATCAAGAGAAAGGGTAGAGTTGAGCAGAATATGTCCTGTAGAGGTCCATTAATAGAATATGATACAAATAAAACAGCATCGTGATAAATTCGGGTCAAAAATTGTAATTTTAAATGACAACATGGTATTTGAATCATACATTCAATTTTCCTACTGTGGTTTTTTCATTCCTATCGAATCTACTATTATTTATCCATTTATTATTATTTGCCATACGGTATTTTTATCTTCCAAAGAATGAGGACATATTATACATTTGATAAACTAAGTTGGAAGCATCGCCATCTGATCAAGATGGGGTTCGAACTCATGGTCATGTTGTCTCGGCATCACTACACTACGGTAACCAGTTCTCTCTACCTCAAATCTACGGTGAAGGGTCGCTTTCAGTAGTTGCTTTACTGTCATCTGGCCTTTGCATACGGATCCGTGCGTATTCCGACATCCTTGGTGATGGTCGGTCCAAGAAGTTGTGGGGATGGTAAGTCTTCTACATCCACTAGTTCACTTTCGCTCACTATGAACATTTCACGTTAACAGACTATACTTCCTCACTTGTGCTTCTGGGTCCGAAAGACCTTTAAACGACTGTTTGGACAGGAATAATCTCGCAAATGTCGCCAAGAATCTACAGGTCCTGGGAAGGCTGCTCAAGGGATTGTTAGATCAGAAAGCACTGATGGCTGAA